AAAGGACTGAGCATGCTCTGAGTGGGGAGTGAGCTCATTTCTGACTCGGAAAACTGCAACGACGAGGCATTCTACGGGTTCCATCCAGGGCAGGTCTGGGTAGCCCTCGGATCTGACAGCCAGCAGATCAAGAATTGTTGTGGTAGCATGTGGGGCATCATTTTGCGCACTGTGGCCATAGCTTTGGGACTGCAGGGGACAACAGTGAACTGAGCATGTGCTGAGCTCGCAAGAACTCGCTGAGGTCCCGCAGGAAAATAATACCGACTGTGGCATCATACCAGTCAAAACAGGTCCGTGTGGCGCCCAGACCTAACATCCAACAAGTTCCGACAAGATCAGCGCCACCAACAACCTAACTAGATAGTACACCTGGTGTCTCTTTAATCCTGGAACCCACTCCAACCAGAAGAGGGAGAAAGGTTGCAGAGACAACAGTGCAGCCTCAGCACAGTATCACAGGAGGTGGAGAGTGGTGAGCCAAGGGCTGTGGCTGTGGCTGTGGAGACCACAGTGGATATCTGACATAAGAAGCCAGACCTGGAACTCGCTGGAGGTTGTGGCACAAGTGGCTGCAAGCAAAAAGTTGTGTACCAACTGCAATAAGTAAAATCGCATTGTAGACCTGTGGGTGACACAGCTTAGAAACCTGCCACAAGAAGAAGACTCTGCTAACCAGAAGTACAATGATCAAGAGCAAAAGAAGAGACTGAGGCACAATTAATATTACTGAAAACTCCCCTGCAAAGGAGCAAAACCCTATGCCAACCTCAGAGTTAACTGAGGAAGACATCGAGAAAATGGGGGACACAGAATCCATAAGACTCATTTTAAAGATTCTGGTCAGGCCCGGCACGGTGGCACAAGTGGTTAAAGGTCCTCGCCTTGCACGCCCGGGATCCCATATGGGCGCCGGTTCTAATCCCGGCAGCCCCGCTTCCCTTCCAGCTCCCTGCCTGTGGCCCGGGAAAGCAGTCGAGGACGGAACGTGCACCCGCGTGGGAGACCCAGAAGAGGCTCCTGGCTTCGGATCGGCATAGTATCGGCCCGTTGCGCTCACTTGGGGAGTGAATCATCGGACGGAAGATCTTCCTCTCTGTCTCTCCTCTCTGTATATCTGCCTTTCCAATGAAAAAATAATAAAAATAAATCTTTAAAAAAAAAGATTCTGGTCAAAAATGAGAAGTTAATGCAAGAGTTCAAAGAATTTAAGGAAGCAGTAAAGCAAATCAAGACTGGAATATCAGAAATTAAGAACACAGTAGAGCAAATTACAAGTACAGTGGAGAGTCTCCAAAATAGAATGAAGCAAGCAGAAGAAAAAATATCAGAATTGGCAGATATCTCCTGTCACCAGGGGGAAGCCAACAAAAAGCTGGAAGCAGAGCTGGATCAGGCCAAAAAAAGCATTCAAGAATTGAAAGACACTATTAAGAGGCCAAATATAACAGTTATGGGAGTCCCAGAAGGTGCAGAAAGAGAAGCTGAGTTCGCAAATGTATTTAATGGGATAATAAAGGAAAATTTCCCTAATCTAGAGAAAGAATTGGGAAACAAGATCCAGGAGGGACACAGAATTCCCAACAGGCTTGATCAAAAGCGATCTTCGCCAAGACATATGATTATCAAGCTCTCTTCAATTGAACATAAGGAAAAGATCCTTAAATGTGCACGTGAAAAACATCAATTGACATATAAAGGAAGGCCAATTAAGCTCACAGGAGATCTCTCACAGGAAACTCTACAGGCAAGAAGAGAATGGATTGACATATTCCAGATTCTAAAAGAAAAAGATTGTCGGCCTAGGATAACATACCCTGCAAAGCTTTCTTTCATCTTTGAAAATGAAATAAAATTCTTCCAGAGTAAAGAAAAGCTAAAAGAATTTGCCTCTTCCAAACCTGCTCTACGATGTTCTCTTGACATAGAAGAGGAATAGCACCTACCAAAACCAAAGGGTAATGGGAAGAACATCCCAGTAAAATGACAACAGAAGACTAAATCAATGAACAACCCATTCCTAAAATGACAGGACCAAAGTACCACCTATGTATATTTAACTCTAAATGTAAATTGCTTAAGCTCAATCAAACATCATACATTAGTATACTGGATTAAAGAACGAAACCCATCTGTTAATTGTCTGGAGGAGACACACTCCAACAAAGATCAGCAGAAACTATATCACATGGGTTTTGTTGTTTTCTGTTGGTTTCATCTCTTCAAAATACTTTCTTCTGATTAAATCATTCAATGAATCATAGATCATACAGTGGCATCATTTTCTTCAAGAAGGTCCTTGATTTTCACTTCTTCAGCTACACGTTATACATTTAATAGCATGTTGTTTAACCTCTTGGCATTGTTAATTTCTTTTTTCTCCCGGAAGTTGATTTTGTTTTGTGGCTCTTCATTTAAGGGAAGGTATAGTATTTGTGTAATGGAGACTGTCATATATAGTAACATGTCATTTAACTTCATGGCATTGTAAATTTCTATTTTTCTTTCTATTGTTGATTTTGTATCATGACTTTTCATATAAAAGAATGTACAGTAGTTATGTAATGGAGACTAACAACCAGATGTGAGGATGCAGTGTGGTATGCATCTCTGTTTCCAGACAAAGATGGACTTACAGTGAAACTGTTTATATTATATTTTGACAATAGGACTCTGGACTCTCTGCCATTGTCCATGCCTGCAATGATGAACATATGACTGAGTATGAAGAATTATATGTTAGTAATGATATAAAGGAACTGGGGGGGGAGGGAATTGGGGAGAGGATAAGGGAATATGGAACTGTATCATAAAATGATAGCAATAATAATAAAATGTGAAAAAAAAGATATTCAATGCAACATAGCCTATCCCAAAATGATTTGGGGGCTTACTGAACTTGAATGTTAAAGGAGTAAGCAGATCTAGTAATTTAAATGATTTTGTCAAGAATGAATCTTGCTGCATGTCTTTATTCTTTTATCTTTGTTGGCTTCCTCCTTAGTCATGTTTATTATATATGACAAAAATAACCACCTATACCTCCACTCTTAGATACTGTCAATTTGACAGCCACATTTGCCATGCGCCCATACCTGAGTCAAGTTCTATGACGAGATGATTGGATTTCTCTGATGTTAGGTTTGCATCTTGTGCTAATATCAGCTTCATTTAGCAGCTGATGCGCTTACTAACAACATTTCAGTCAACAATGTACCAGATATGCAGTGATGGACTCAAAATATTACAGCATTACATTATTATCATAATGACACTGCATTAGGTGATCTTAACGATATTAGGGCTGTCTTTGTTGGTGTGAGAACACCCACATGACATAATTTTCATATGAGAAGATTACTGATGAATGACTTCATGAACTAAATGGAAGACAGTGAATATCTAAAGGAAAACACAGGCAGTTTTGGTGAAAATGATGCTGAGCTGGAAAATGCAGCAGCTATTCGTTATTTACTTCCTAACCTATGAATCTCATTTCTATTTGTTGAAGTCCTATTATTTTCGTAAGAATTGTCAAGTGACTCCTATGAAGAGTTATAGAGAGAGAAGGAGAGACATGCATAGAGAGAGGTCTTTCATCTGCTGGTTCACTCTCCCAGCTACATCAGATGGGGCTGATCCAACCTGAAGTCCAGAGCCAGCAGCTTCTTCCTGGTTGCCCATGTGGGTTCAGGGACCCAGGTATTTGGACCTTTCCCCATCACTTTCCCAGGTCATTAGCAGGAAGCTGGTTTGGGAGTGGAGAAGTCAGGACTTTAATCAGCACTCATATTTGATGCTGGTTCCACAGGTGAAGGTTTAGCTTATTATACAACTGCAATGGCCCAAAAGGTCTCCTTTAGAATCAGTTCTCATCTTCTAATCATTTGTGATATCTCCTTGTTTTGTGTTCCTTTTGCGTCTTATAACTCTCTTACTCCTTATTTTAGTGATCTTTGCTCAATTGATGTAAGTTATTTTCTAGATTTCCTGAAATAGTGAATCTTCTTTGAGGACCAACTATACCTTACTTGACATTTAAAGCAGCACCTAGCAAGTAACTGATTAATGATAGACTATCAGTATATATTAAATTGACTTCTTATTATTTTATAAATAATAGAAAGTAAACAAGATGTGGAAAAATTTTTATTAGGTACATGGCTTATTAAGTGATTAATTTATTAAAATACCAACAGAAGTTATGTTACCTAGTCTGGAAAACAATTTAGGAATAAGAAGTAACAAGAATTGGGGCTGGTGTGGGAGCCTAGTGGCTAAAGTCTGCCTTGCATGCCCAGGATCCCATATGGACTTTGGTTCTAATCCTGGCAGTTCTGCTTCCCATCCAGCTCCCTGCTTGTGGCCTGGGGAAGCAGTTGAGAACAACCTATTACCTTGGCACCCTGCACCTGCGTGGGAGACCTGAAAGAGGCTCCTGGCTCTTGGCCTCAGATCAGCTCAGCTCCGGCTGTTACAGTCGCTTGGGAAGTGAATCAGTGGACAGATCTTCCTCTCTGTCTCTCCTCTCTGTGTGTCTGACTTTCCAATAAAAATAAGTACATCTTAAAAATAAATAAAAGAAGTAAGAAGAATTGTGTAACAGGTTAAGCTACTGCCTGCGATGGTGAAATCTGATGTGAGCAACTGTTTGAGTCCTGGCTAATCCTGCTTCCTACTAATGGCCTGGGAAATACAGCAGAAGATGGCCCAAGTGCTTGGGCCCCGCCATCCATGTAGCTCTTGGCGCTTGTTTTCAACCTTGCCAGTCACTGACTGCTGTGACCATGTGGGGTGAGCCAGTCAATGCATGATCTCTGTCTTTCTCACTGTCTCTCTGTGTATCTCTAACTTTCAAACAAACAAACAAATAAGTAACTGGTTTTTCAGAAAGGTGGCAAGAAGAACTGCAGCCCCCGGAGAAAATTGAATCATAGGCATGGGAATCTTTGGATCTATTTTGCCTTTATTAACTCAGTGCCTTCTCCTTTTTTCCTCAGTTGTCCGGGTTTGTGTCTAAGCTTGTTCCAGCTGTCCAGAATGCCCACAACAATTCCACTGGATCCAGCCGAAGAAAGAGCCTGATGGTGTTAACTGAACCCATTTTGATTGAGACCTACGCAGGCCTAATGTCATTCATTGGAAACCGCAACCTACTGGGTTATTCCCTTGCCCGTGGAAGTATTGGTTTTTGATTCTTACTGGTACAGGAGTTCTTCTTTCATAAATGCATAATAACCGAATTTTCTGTTCCAACCCACCAAATTTTTGGACTGAATGATTATTTTTAAAGAGTGCTGTATGATTTTGAATATTTGTTTCAGGAATCTAAAACATTGGATTGGCAGGCACACATTTCTGATCTCAAATTAAAAAATTGGAATTTTCTTAAAATCAAAAAGTAAATGATTCTGAGCCCATTCAAATGGTATCACATGAGGAACTGACTGTAAACTGAGTTATTGTTTGGTCCCTACATGTAGGCATTTTCCTGACCTTGGTCTTCTGTCCTCTTATTTAAGATCTCACTGTTTTTATTATTTTAGACACCAATGTTATATGGGAATGACTTGCATATATAACTGTTCATCTCTAGTATTTATGCAAAACTTAGTGGATTGCTTTTGCTTTTGTTTGTTTTCTTTAAACAGCAACATCCCTTTATTGCCAGAAGCTACTTGAGGTGATTCACAAGGAGTGGAAGATGCCAGTGCCTGGCTGACTGTACTTGAGGGACTTGTACGTGATAGAAAACTTGCCCAGGTAGTGGTTAAGCATCTTGGGCTTGATGTTCACCTGGCTGAATGTCTTGCCATTGCACACGCCCCACCGGCATATTGGCCAATCATCTTTTACAGTTCTGAATACTCCTCATACTCAACATCTTCAGACTTTCAGATTTCTCTGAAATGTTTTTGTGGTACCAGTTATCCATCTTAACAACTACTAGTTCATAGTTCTCTGAATTTTTTTTCGGATACATCCAGAGCAAATATATTCCACATGCCTTAACATTTAAGTATCTAAAAGACCACATATCATACTCAGAGCTCATTCTTCTTTCAAAATTGTTCATATATTATATCTTTCCAGTGTCAGAACTGTTATTTAACTAAGTTTTTAATTCTGTTCACTTGATTATGCTTCCTTTTTTTTTTTACAAAGGTTCATTTATTTTTATTTGAAAGGCAGATTTTAAAGAGAGAATGAGAAACAGAGAGAGATCCTTCATCTGCTGGTTCACTTCCCACATGGGTGCAAAGTCCCAAGGACTTACGCCATTCTCTGCAGTTTTCCCCAGCTGTAAGCAATGTGATGAATTTGAAGTGGAGCAGTTAGGACACCAACAAGTACCCTTATAGGATACTGTCACAGAGGGGGAAGATGTAGCCTGTTGTACCACAGCATTGGCCCCAATTGCTGCAGATTTTAAATTGGAATACTTGATCCATGCCAGACCCTCATTCAATTGATCCTGCATTTGACTGCCATTGTCTTTCTTTCTTTTTTGTCCAAAGATTTATTTATGTATTTTTAGTTGAAAGTCAGATATACAAAGAGGAGGAGAGACAGACAGGAATACCTGCTGTCCATTGATTCATTCCCAAAGTGGCTGCAATGATCAGAGTTGAGCTGATCTGAAACCAGGAGGCTGGAACTTCCTCCACATCTTCCACACGGATACAGGGTCCCGAGGCTATGGGCCATCCTTAATTGCGCTCCTAGACTGCAAGCAAGGAGCTGGGTGGGAACGAGGCCACCAGGACACAAACCAGTGCCCAGAAGGGATTCCGGGAGGGCAAGGCAAGGATGTTAGCCATTAGGCGACCACACCGGGCCAACTGCCCTTTTCTGAAACAAAATATGATTCTATCACTCTCTGATCAGGATCTTTTAGTGCTTCATTTCCTTGGGTATTTTTTCTTAAATGTATCTCTTAATAGAACACTTCCTTGTAATTAAATCTTTTGAAGAAGTCAATTTATACCAGGAAAACATATAAAAGCCTCCTAAGTTCCAAGGATCTCAGAAACGCAATGTTAAGAATATTGAGGGACTTCAGAGGCTTCTTTGGACCATATTTTACTCATTTAGTTAGTTAAAGATTTATTTTATTGATTTGAAAGTGTTACAGACAGAGAAGTAGCACCATGTTTTAAAAATGTTGTCATACCTCATTGTATTCTTGTTGCCCTTTTTTCTTTTATTTTTTTCTCTGCTTAACATACCAAATTTTCAGAAACTCAAAACATTATCTCATGTTTTCTTTTCTCTTTGAGTTTCTTTCTTTTGAGTTTGAACATCTTTTTAAATTTGATTTACTGTGGACTATGTTTGAAACTCTACTAACGACACCTGTTGACATGGATGTGGGGAGAAAGGTACCCTACTTCACTGTTGGTGGGAATGTAGGCCAGCATAGCCACTATGGAAGCAAGTGTAGAGAATACTAAGATAACTGAAAATTGATCTGTATGGCTCAGCTGTTCCCCTTGTGGGAATATATCCAAAGGAAGTGAAGTCTGGATATGAAAAAGTAACCTGTAATCCTGGATTTACTACAGCACAATCTATTATAGCAAAGACATTGAAACAGCCTAAATGTCCTTTGCAAGAAGAACGGATAAAGAAATTGTGGCATATCTATTCTTTGGAATACTACTCAGCCATTAAAAAGAACGAAATTCTACCACTTGAAACCAAATAGTCCCAACTAGAGACCATTATGCTCAGTGAAATAAGCCAATCTCAAAAGAACAGAAATATCGTATCTCTCTCTATATATATCTATGTGTGACATATATACATAAATGCATATTTATGTTAATATTTATTGATCTTAGGAACTGAATAATGAAGACTAACATACTGAGCAGTGAAGATATGTTGCTGTATTCAGCTCTGATCCTGAAAAAAGATGTACTCGCAATGACATTGTTAAATAGATCTTGACAATAGTATGCTGGGCCTTCTACAATTGATTGTACTTACAGTGGCATAATACATTTAAGTAGCTGAATGACGGATTGGTTACTGTTTTGAATAATATAGGCAAAATCATTATGGGGGAGGGGGAAGGATTAGGGAGGGTAGGAGAGAAATTCCTGAGCCTATGGACCTGTAGCATTATAAAAGAAAAAAACAAGAAAATCAGCAGCAGCATCTTTCTCCAGTCACAAACTCTTTCCCGGCAACTTACCAAGCTTTCTTTCGCATTACCTCTATACCAAACAGTATTATTCCTTCCTCATTTTGTGTGCTGGCAACACAGATGTTAATAAAAGCTGCCAGCAGCACTTGCAACATGAATTGCCTTCCCCCTTCTCTTGCTCCTGAAAATGCTGAAGCTTCCTTTGCTATAGCCACTGACAGGTCTCTACTGTCAGGTCTTGAGCTGGAAGTGCTCCACAGTGTAAAGCGGCAGGGGCAGCTCTTTGGTGCAGTGGCTAAGACACCCCTTGAGAAACCTGCATCATTTATTAGAGTACCTGATTTTTAAGACCCGGTTCTGCTCCCCATCCAGCATTCTGCTGAAATGCACCCTGGGAGGCAGAAGGTGATGACTCAAGTACTTGGGTTCCTGCTACCTTTGTGGGAGACCTACAGTAATTCCTGGGCTCCTGACTCACCCCAGCCCATTGCAAACATTTGTGCAGTGAACCAGGTCATAGAAGCCCCATTTTCTCTATACTTTTCAAATAAGTGAAAAAGAATAAATTTAAAATTTAATTACAGGGTTGAGACCATGATGTTTCAGGCTAATCCTCTTCAAGTGGAACCAACATCCCATATAGCCCCCATTTCCAGTGGCTGCTGCTCCACTTTTGATCCAGCTCCCTGTGTATGACCAGGAAACACAGCAGAAGATGGCCCAAATACTTGGGTCCCTGTAACATTATGAGAGACTCAGAAGAAACTTACAGCTCCTGGCTTCAGATTGGGTCAGGTCTGACCATTGAAGCATTTAGGGAGTGAACCAGTGAGTGAAATAGCTCTCTCTCTTTCTCTTTCTCTCTTTCTCTGTGTCTTTCCTTCTCTATGTAACTCTACATTTCAAATAAAAATTTAAAAATCAATAAATGTTTTACAAATTAAAAAATAAGCTTTAGGGCACTGTGATAACCTAGATGTTAAATCCTAACCTTGAATGCACCGGGATCCCATATGGGCACTGGTTCTAATCCCGGCAGCCCCACTTTCCATCCAGCTCCCTGCTTGTGGCCTGGGAAACAAAGTCTTGGGACCCTGCACCCATGTGGGAGACCTGGAAGAGGTCCTGGCTCCTGGCTTCAGATTGGATCAACTCCAGCTGTTGTGGTCACTTTGGGAGTGAATCATCAGACAGAAGATCTTCTTCTCTGTCTCTCCTCCACTTTGTATATCTGCCTTTCCAATATAAATAAATAAATCTTTAAGAGCACAATAAAAATTACTACAATATTTTTCAAATTTTTGAGACTTAAAATTGAGATACTTTTCTTGATAGTTTGAAAAGTGCTGTTAATTTTTGATTTAGGTGAAGTTTATTTTCAAAATATTTTCTTCAAGAAGATTGCTTTTCTTAATTTTCAGAATTTATTATCTGAAATATTCAGAAACATGAATTTCATGCAGACATTGAAAACTCAAATCTTGAAAACTCTCCTTTTGAGTTTATTTACTTTTAGTAATACTTTCCTCCTCAATCTCCCATTCACAACTTCCACTTCTTCACACTCATGATAGCAAATATTGTTATAGTCCCCAAGGCAGGAAACTTTAATTCAGACTGTAAAAGGAAATGTTGAAATCCTTAACTGTCCTGTCAACAGTAGTGGAATAAAAAGGCCTTCGATTGTTTTGGCACTGGTTCTGAAGAGGGCATTATTGGTGAAATATTATAATACTGCTGCCCTCAAAGCCCCGTATGACTTAAGATTGGGCATTTGTTGGCAGAAATCTCTGAAATGTCGGGCACATTCTTTGCATCAGCATGACAATTGACTTCTCTCTGCACTTTGTCTTCCTTGTAACCCAAGCCAGACTGTTCCCAAATGATCTTCTGCAGGACACAGTGGATCATTCTCAATAGGAACAGCTTAGAAAGGATGGGAAGAGTAGAGATTTCCTAGTCCTGGGATCCAGTCTATAAAAATAGGGTGTTTAGTGGAATTCAGTCTGCTTTAAATGGAGAAGAGTGAGCTTGCAGATAGTG